ACAATAAATTGAAGCTACAAATAGCTCTTTTTATTTTCAAGACACTTCCTGACATTATTAGATCCATTTGGTTTTATTTTCCATTTATATTTACTTTTAAATCTCATCGGAAAATAGAGCAATAACACTGCAATCAATACTCTTTTGCTAGACAAGATTAATCACAACCATCTACATAAAAATCCTTAGTATTCTTCTATAGGACTTTGCTGATGATAAAGCTCTGAATATATAAATATATGATTTTTAAAAAGGCAACATACATTTTAATGTATTTTAGCATACATCTTGGAGAGGCCTGATTATTTTCAATTTTAATTAATTTTGCTATTATGCAACAGGAGCCATCAGCTCCTCAGAGGATGAGGCTCCCCAGCCCTGCGCAGGACACGGGGACACCCATGGGGACACTCACCCCCAAGGTCCTCCTGATTCTGCTCCACCTTGAAACACTCAGCAGCAAAATAACACAATGGTAACCAGCCAGTGTACTGCTTACTGCTTCTGGACATGAATAAGACTGAGAGTAGAAAAAGCTTTAGCCCATGTACGTACAGCTCTTTCCCGTGGCATTTGCTGGTTCTTTYAACAGCTTGAACTAAGCCCTCAGCATAAAGCTGAGCATAAAGGAGCATCAAGCACTGAATGAGTTGCTTGTCCTGACCAAGTGCTTAGCCCAGATCACGGGATTGAAAAAAMCAAAATTCATTACAAAATGCTGGTATTTTCAGTAGGTGCTGGCTTCATCATTGCTCCAACTCCGCATGTCAGCAAGAACCTGAAACCTATCAAAGTCTCCRTGATTTTACTAAGTGTAGCAGAAAAGGGCACTAGGGAAAAAGGACCAGCTGAAACAATATTCAATTCAGTGACCACAAAGACGACCTRCTCTCCTCTGCGAGGGTTAACTGTTAAACCACAGCGCTCGAGTTTAGCCAGTTAAGTGGAGCACAGGGGAGACTCGCATCTTACTCGAAGAGGACTCCTATTGACAGTGACAGTAGCATGTAATTAAAGAGCAACAAATGCAGGAGGCAAGGACACGGCACAGAAACTGAACCTTGTAATCATCAGTATGCCTGCAAACCAGACCTAATTTGGCAAGATGTGAAAAAAGCCCAAGTTAATGTACTATACATAACACAAACCCTGTCTTCTCTCTGTTATAATACTCGGTTTTAGTCCTAGCAAACCCACAGATCAGCTTTGCCTTGGCTTCCCTTCCCCCGCTTACATTTGGTTAATATGCAAAGGTAATGCATTTTATTAAAGAAATCAGGAAGATCTGCATTAAGTCACGTCTGCTTCAGAACTCACTTGACTCCCCACCAGCTGGATTCTATTATTTGATTAAAAATGCTGTTGTGCCAGCTGCCATACAGCACGTTTCACTACTCCAACTCCTGGTGGAATTAAATCCATATTAAAAATGTAGTCTAGCATGAATCAGCCTCTTGTCAATATTAATGCATACCTAGAAAACAGAAACACTAAAAAAAATGAACTGAACCCTGCCAGAACTGGCTACCTTTACCTGTGATGAAGGAAGTGATAAGGCTTAATGGACAAACCTTCAAATTCCACATATTATAAGGTATCATAAAGAAATGTCCTAATTACAGCCCTAGGTTTATTTTTAATAATAATTCCTCATGTCATGAAATCAAACCAATCTCCTCTTCTAGTAGAGCCAACCTGAAGTAATTGCTAAATTTTAAGAATGAAAATCCCTTGTATCTTGCTGACATGGCAAAACATTTATTAGCGGTGGGTAATTATTAAGGGATGAGCCCAGGGCAAAAAAATAATTTATAATTCAAGTCTATTATTACTAATTTACTTAGCAATAGGGAGAGTGTGTCAGGCAAAAAGCCCATCTAATTCAAATGGGGATTTCTGCCCCATGTGGACTGCAGGATCAGGTGCCAAGAGGAGATGCTGTGAATATGCATGGAGGATGTTGTTCACCTTCTCTCAACATATCAAAAGCCTTAAAACAAACATTTGCAAAAGCATGCTTAAAAGCCCTCTACATAAGTGATGGCATTTTGATAGGTCTGATTCTTCCCCATTCTTTTTTTCAGTTGCCTCGAAACAAGATATCATCTACAGCTTCTGGCATCCACCAGGAGCTCAGAACAAAGTTTCAACAAGATGTTTGCAGATTTCTTTATCTCTGGATGGCACCGAAAGGATAGTGAAGTATGTTAAAAAGCTGGAATGGGTTCAGAGAAGATATAATCATTTTAATATTCAAACAAAAGTAAATACATAGGTAATGTTGAAAGTCCAAACCCATGTTCATTCCTGGTACAAAGGCAGCGAGCACTACCTTCTTTAGCAAAAAGAGGAAAGTGATACATGGAATTTCCATTGTTGAAACTGACTACCAATAGCCAATATAAACACCACAGAAGGTGGTCAAATTATACAATACATAAAATACCTTGGAAGAGCATCTAAAAAGTTTTGAGTCAGAGAAGTGGCTATATAACTGAAGGCTCAGGTTACTAAGTGGGACATTTGCTACCATTTGACCGTGATTCAAGGAGCCGAGTACAGGTGAGGGTGGCTTAGTGCTCATACTACAGAAAATGTCCGCATAATTGGCAATTTTGTGGACAGTCTCCACAGACAGCCAAGGCCCTGAAGGTTCAGTCTTGAAGATGTCCCTCAGGTACTGAACTCCTGCTGACTCCAGACGTGGATGCCCTGTTGGGACTCTCTGGAGAAAAATAAACTGACTTTCTTGCATCTTGGAGAGCTCCCTTTCAAAGGCAATTGAATTCATTTTGGAAATGCCTCAGATAAGCTAAATTTGTGGTATTAAATTATTTGTATTTCTAGGTTCCCTGTATGTATGTATCTCTTGGCGTTCTTCCTCGATAAGCACAAAATCACAGAATCCCTGGATGGTTGAGGTTGGAGGGACCAGTAGAGATCATCTAGTCCAATCCCCCTGCTCCAGGAGGGACACCCAGAGCACGGGGCACAAGGCCACATCCAGGCAGGTTTTGAAGACYTCCAGAGAACACAACCAGCCTGGGCAGCCTGTTTCAGGACTCTATCACYCAAGGTGCTGGCTGGGTCCATCTYATTGCAGAGCAAGGCCGGAGCACCCAAGGAGATGGGCCAGTGGCTCTCCCCCCTGCCCCAGGACTATGTCCTGATCTGCCTGCCCCAAATGTTCTCAGCAGCCTTGCTCCTGGCCCAGGGAGTACCAGCAACTTCCCACACAGAAACACATTATTCCACATAGAAACTGCACTTTGCACATTTGACTTTGCATGGAATGACTTCTGTCTAACCAATGCAACGTGTTTTAGTGTAGCCCCCATCTGCATCTGTTAAAGCACCAATTAGAAATGCACTCTGCATGCCCACATAGAGAAATACCCCATGAAATCCAGAAAAAAATGCATAATGATAAACAGCTGTCATGCAATTTTTTTTTTGTACTTTTTCTTCTACTCACAAACTTTTTTGGAAACAACCCCAATCCACCATCATCTTCAAATGAGTCAACATGTCATAAACACATCCTCATTTTCTAGGTTGCAAAATGGAGATATGCTCTGCATCAAATACGCAAAGTATGCACAGGTCTAAAACAGTACCTGTTTTATGTAGAGAATAATGACACATTTTGTGACAAAGATTTACACCACGGAAAAGGAAGCTTCCTGTTTCTCATCAGTACATGCTGCTTTTCTTAGAAGTCTCAGAGACAAGTGGCATTTAAAATTATGACATTCCCATGAACCAAAAAGCCATATATTTAGCCTTGGCATGSTTTCACAAAGGGAATGTATTGTGAGTGGGTCTCACATTTCAATAAAAGGAAGCAAACRCTTTTAACAGCACTTGAGAGTTTTTATATGTGATTTATAAGATATGATTTTAAGATCTATCGTCCCTCAATAAATATTTGTTGACTAAATGTCACTTATTTTTCAGTAACRCTGGTTTAAAAATCCTGCTTTATCATTACAGGTGCAAAATCTTATAAATGTGCAATGGATGTGTCAAAAAAAATAACAAATATTTACAAAAGAGAAAAAATGGATTTATGCACATTCACCTTGTAATGGCTATGAACAAAAGGGCTAGCAAGATACYGGTACAGAAAAAAAATCTAAGGAAAAATACATGGTTTCACCCATTCTAAAATGTTAATCATGCTGAAACTCTGGGATCTCGCTTTGCAGGTCCTTGTGGCCAGTCACTCAGCCTCCAGCAAGYGGAGGTTAAGACCTGGGAGGCCAGCAGCAAACAGGGCAGGTGAGCTGAGGCAGCGGAAAGGAGGGTTATGACCAAACTGCCAGCGACCACGTTGGKGACACGTTCAGTTCTCCTCCCTGGCAAAGAGTTCCTACACATACTTGGGTAAACACTTAACATTTAATACTACAGAAAGCTGCAGGCCCTCAGAAGAATAACCAAAATTTCTACTCAGACATTCAGAATTAATAGCGGACATTCTCCTACACCTTCATTTTGCATCTGTGCCGTATGGGAACAACATTCATTTCCTCACGTTGCACTGCTTAAAGCGAGCCTATGAAACCCATGAGGCTCTGAGTCCTCATGGCTATTAGCTATTTATATTATGGAGGCATCCAGGAGGTCTTATCACGGGCCAGGCCACAAGCAAGCTGGAGGCTATGCCCAGGAGATCAAAAATGTGGCTGTCAGGGTCACACATCTAAAATAAAAGTCAGTAAACGTACATGGTTGGTAGACAAGGAAGCAGAAGTAAATAAAGAGAAAGCATCAGTAAACACGAGGCACATCAGTAAACACACCACTAACCTACTTTTATTTTCTTAACTTTTCTTTTTCTTCCTCTTTTTTTTTTTTTTTATTTCAAGAGTTACAGCAGAGGAGATCATAAGAAGGGATTTAAAAGAAGAAAATGAGGTCTGTGCCTTGATGTCTTCCCATAGCTCATCTTCTGGCTACTTCCTGAACATCTCTCCATCCACAAACTTCTCTGCAGCAGCAAATGTACCTCAGTATCTTCCATAGTTGATTTTTTAAGCCCAAGTCAGCATTAGCGAATCTGCTTGTTTTCCTAAGATGCCATCATTTCCTGATGTCTGAAATATYCATTTGAAAATATATATGAACCCTCCAAATGATAATTTCCAAACCAACCACTTTTCATCTAAAGCTCCAACAAAGCATCAGAAAAAAAGCAATTTCAGAAATAGAACAAAGTGCCAAAATAAATTAGGGAAGCTCYTTTCACTGTACTCCAAACAGATAAAACTTACCAACAAAACGTCCATTTAACATACGAGTCACCTTTAACTTTTTCTTTTATATTTTGGCGTAGTGTTTTTTTTTCCCCCCATAGGATTGCTACAACATCCATTGAGCCCTAATTAGAATGCACAGTTAATGGAAAGTTGGGAAGCAGCATATCATCGCCCTRCCACCCCATGGCCAAGCGAGCAAGCTCTGGAGCAGTGCACTGACCAGAGCACACCAGCAAGAGGGCAAGGAGCTCATCGAGGCCAAGGAGAGGAGAGTTCAACCACCTCCAGGCTGCCCTGGCCTCAGAATCAGACTCAGATGGAGACACTGCGTCCACACATAAATGACTAAATGTCTGTGTTTTCCTCTCACGTTGAATCACACTCGAAATTGAAAGGATGACACAATTGACACAACCAGCCAACAGCATCCTATGAAGACTTTACAAATTAAATTTATCTTACAATAAATTGAGCTCCCAGAAGTGGTTAAATGGACCAAAAGGGGTTAGATGGACCTACTTATCTCGCTGGCTAGATCTTTTTTTGCATGAGTGTCCTGAAGAGCACTCCAGAGTGGTAAGGTGGAAAATGTGCGTACTCAGGTTTTAGGGCTTTATTTGCATTTGTGTATTCCTCATCTGTCAAAAGCAAAGAGTTATGTTGCCACCAACAACAACTGAACTAAATTAGAGTTTAGCAAGGAAGATGGATGCAGTTCGGTTTTCAACGAACAGATCTTAKTAAATGACTGACTATCAGCTATCTAAATAGATTAAATGGATTTTTGTTATGTGTCTAGTTTAGCAGTTTGGAAAACTGACATTTGAAGTTGTCACTTAGCATTCAGACACTCTAACGTTATATAACAAGTAAAATTGTTATTTAAAAATCCTTTCTCTAAAATTCATGGTAATTCTTGTGAGCTAACAGCAGCATTCAAAAGCATTGGCAAGCAAAAATCAAAATGCACGCATTTCTGAGGGACAAAGTATTTTTGCGACTTCAGATTTTTATCAGAGAGCAACWGAAAGAAATATCCCCAATGAAACACATGCAAGAAGAATGTCATTTTTGTTATACTTCCTCCAGATCACATCACATGAGATCAGATTTCAAATCCAGCAAAAACAGCTGTAAAAAAAAATGTAGCTTTTTCCTAACATTGTCTTTGTATGTCAAACCACTAAATATGAAAGTTCTTTCATTCAATATTCTAAAATATACACCAATGAGGAATACTTTTTCTTCTCTTGGTTTTTAAAGCCAGGCCACTTGCTGCAGAACAACCCTACATGCTTCAGGCACTCTCACATATTCTGGATGGACAGAGATTATGCTGTCCCAGTTGAGTGATTTAAAATTGCATTTATTGTGATGCTTCATGATTGAAGAGGTCAAAGCCTCCCCTGAGGAAAGCAACTAAAAGGTGTTCTGCATAGCAATTTAGGAAACACATGCTAATTTTGTAGCTTCGTGACATTAATGTTTTTCTTGGTTTCATTGTAAATAAGCATTACTTTTTGTTAATTAAGAGAAAGACAGTAACTTTAAGGTCCAGAGAGCAGAAATTAATTCATACCTTACATTTCCCTTCCCCCACCAGGCACTCAAAGGAAATTTTGATCCMCCAGCTCTATATATCAAAGAATGTTCAGGTTCAAAGTCAAGTACTAGAAAGCCAAGAAATGCCAGAATAAACTCAGTTCAGCTCCCTTGTGCTTACACATTAAGATGCTATATTTAATTACTTGATCATGTGCAATTTTTCCACTACATTACCTGTTTTAAATAAAATCATAACAAGCTCCATAATGGCCTGCTTCGGCAAGATAAGACATTTATCTCCAYGTAAATATGTTACTTCAATAATCAAAGTTACACATTCACTTATCTAYGAGATATATTAAGAGTAGATAAATATTTTCCTAATAACAACTGTAGATTCAAATTTTATTTGTTTTCAAGTTAAAAAAAAAGATCTTTCATCAGCAAATCCTGCTCAATGCAGAGATCCAATTTGAGATGAACAAAACCAGAACCTCTTTTTGCCTATCAAAATAATTAGTTCATTATCAATATATTGATAAGCTAATAATATATATGTTACAAAACGTATACATTACAAAACATATGTTTAAATGTACCAACTATTTATTTTAATATGTTATACAAACATAGTCTAATAGTCAGATAGAATTAATGGTTATGAATTTTAGGTATTTTAAGCATTTAGGCAGTTTAGAAATACCTGGGTTTCTGACCAACACTTGGCTTTTAAATCTTTATCAAGAAAAAATATCCTTTCTCAAAAGAAATGCCCATATAAATGTGCGGATTAGGACAGTAGCAGGACTGCTGTATCACTTAGGGAATGCCTGAGCTTGGATATCTGCCTTCTCTGCCCAATTCTACCTTGGCTTGGATAATTGGAATAACGATGAATGAAAATTTAGGCCTGCGGTTTTAATAGCAACTATTTGTTATTTAAATGTCCTTTTCCACAGTGAACGATGGCCAGAGTGTGTGCTCAGAATTAAAAGACTGTTCTTTAGCATCAACACATCGATTTCTTGGGGTCCTTGCAAAGCTTTTCACATTGTTTCTGAACTACAGATATACACCCCTGTAACTGCCTGTCAGACATCATTCCTGCTTTATGAATAAATAATATGATGCTCAGGGGAAATGCTGGTCTAAGACAAAAATCAATATGTGTCTAGCACGTGCTAGGCAGTAGTTCAGCTGAAGTCTGTTTGAAATATACAGAGTGATTTTAATAACAAAACAAATGCTCTACACAGAGCTTAAAGGAGGGTTATTAGGAAAGCACTACCACTATTTCATTGTACATCCTATTTGAAAGAATAATAATATTTTCTTTTTAAAATGTGAATAGATATTCTGATTGCAAAGTGTTCAGCAATTACTTATCTACAAATTTCTAATATTCATGTTACAGTGATATGGCAGCAACCAATCTCTCACACTGCTCTTCTCGGAGTAGCTTTGGTGCACATCTGTGTAATAAGATGCCTGCTATTACAACTGAGTTAATTTTTATTTTAAAAATATCTTCTTCCAAAATTGCCTTTTTTCAGTGGAGGGCCCAGGATCACAAGTGAAACAAAAGCAGGGTAAATTAATCATTCATGCAGCTCTGTAATCGCCTTAGTCATTCTTGCAACGTAAGCCTATTTTCCACAGTCAACACAGTTTGCATTTTTGACATTCATGGCAGTAAGCCCCCAAAATGCAGATCCATCGTTGGAATATTTGAACCTCTCTACTTTTTCAGAACAGGTCCAAATAAAATGACCTTAGCTTCTGTTGCAATGAGGTTCTTTAATTCTTTTACACTACAACTGACAAGGATTGATTTTGATTTTTAAGTGGTTTTGATTACACTTTAAAGAGTATCAGTAGGAATCATTACTCGGTTATTTCTCCGTGCCTTAGCAAGCAAGCAGTTGCATGCAATATGTCTCTGAGCAAATTCAACCTTAGCTCCTGCCTCTCCTACCTTMTACCTACAAATAAGCTCTCCTGTAGCCGAAAAGCTTCACAGAAGTTGGGTTTTCTGCTCACCAAGGCGCCACAGCTCCATGTAAAAGTCTCATGCTCAACCCCATGAGAAACTGAGCCAAAGTACCTCAATACAACCTTATCTTCACAAAAACTTCTCCGACTGTGTTTCTCACAACCAGTGGGTAGTCCTCAAGCATGAAGCATGTGAAGATATGGCTGCAGTATTTTGTGAAATGGCACCAAATCTCCAGAGTATGAGAAATTCCCAGCATAGTCATGCATTTCTGGGCTTCGGAGCAGGGTGACTCAAAGCAGCAAAGAAGAAAAGAAATAAGTAAGTCCAGAAGAAGACACACAAATGGTCTCCGAAATCACCAGTTCTGAATCACCCATGTCCAGCCCTGGGATCACACACTCAGTGTATCAGTATCRCTTGCAGAGAGCTTTTCTTTCGTCCTCACGAAGATCTTTGAGTGGARCTCCTCATCTTGTGAGCATGCCGACAGGAAGACTCCTCTAGTTACTTTCAACATAACAAAAATAACGTTTTTTATGTATTTATGGCTCCTGCAGACTTAGAAGCATGCGGCTGAGTGCCCTTGCCCGGGGGTGCTTAGTACTGCGCAAGAACTGGCCATCTGGAAGTGAAAGAAGCAGAGGGAAATTCTGATGACTTGGGCAAAGGAACCTACAGACACGCCGAAGTGACATCTGATGAGGAAGAGGATGTTTTGTGGCTTTCGCCAGAAGGCAGCACGGTGGAGCCCATTAGCATCAGCACAGATGTACCTGACCTCTTCCAACTCAGAGAAACCAAAATGCTGAAAACAGGGAGCTATGGCTTTTCAGAAAAACAAGCAGAAAGGAGAAAACTTTTTCTAAATAATAAAAGATAAACCACCAAAACGCTGAGAATGGTGGTGAACTTATTTGCATGTGAAAGTTATTAGGGAAATAGGATGAAGACAGAAAGCAGAGCAGCTGTTCCTGAGTTACTCCATAAAGCAGCCCTGAACTTTGACCACGCAACCAGCAGCTCTCACATGCTTGCAGTGCCCCAAAGCTGAGTCTGTTCACCTCTTCTCACTGCCCTTGTGGTGGCCAGCAGGGCCCAACGGCTCGTGGCTCTTGTCCAGAGGGGAGCAGCCTGGGCAGAGTCCCCAGYGCTGGAGAGGCCTTTCTTTAGCAGGACTCTCTGGCTTGCATGTCGCTACCTTCTTGTAGATGCCTCGTGCATCTGTCATGCCAGCTTTAGCTAAGCAAACCCAATGCAGAGAGACCAAGACTGTGGCAAACCACTACGAAAGAGCAGTTTCCACCCTGCATGTGAAACCAGACTTTCGTGTTCTGCATAGTTTCACAGGGGAGGGCCTCCAAATACCTCTGAAGCTTTGCTATTTACTCACTTAAAAGGTTCCTCTTCCACTGCCCTGCTCCTCACCCTCTACACGCCCCTTAACCCAGCACATATAATCACAAGAAACTGCTGTCCATCTTGCAACACGATTGCACATCACATATTTCTGTCAACCCTCAGATGAAACACTTGACCTGAAGCTTTCTAATGCACAARAGCTTTCCCTCTCCTCAAAGGAAACAGCATCCTTTTGGTGATAGCTGCAAACTAATCAGGACTCGTGATCGCAGATTTGTGCTCAGATTCTAGCTAATCTCACGAAAGAATAACGAGGTCACGCAAGGCAATTGCAGCTCACACAGCGGCAGCATTCAGTGAGCTGTGAGGTACGACACCACCAGCTCACTTGTGGTTTATGTCACGGAATACAACATAAACAGCACAAACATAAGCAGCACATTAAAACAAAACAAAAAAGTGGTTTAAATTGTAGGACAYAGTTGTCTGTCACTTCTGACAACTCTAAGAGAAAAAGTACATTTCCTCTTTCAGTGTTAAAAGTTGTAGATGGTGCAATTATTTACCACTAACTATGCCAGCAAAAAAAGGTTAAATGCATCTTTTCATGAATAAGTACAGAGGTTTCTGAAGTCGTTAATGTCTCCCTGAGATGATGGGAAAACTGCTGTTTTCCAGCACAGCAATTTAAGCAGCACAGTGAATCAAAGTTAAGAAGGTCCCAGAGGCACCTGGAAAACCCTAAATTCAAGATCCTAATGTATTTGATTCTATTAAGGAAATATTAAACTATAAACCCRGGCCTTGTTTTTAGAAGTCCTCTTGTGTATAATAAATGATATATGAAAACTGTTGTCAGATATCCCTCTACCTTTCCTTTCTGTTTTGGACTTCACATTAAGACAGCATCATCAGRCAATCAAATACAGGGTGTACAGCAAGGATACAGCTTTGCTGTTTGGCTATGCACAGTTTTGAAGACATATAATATCTGATGCATAGTGTCAGAAATGTTTGTATGCTGTTTTAAATGAATAATTATGCTTCCCAAAAGTGACCACAGCTGTAATTGGAGACTTGACAGGACAGGGGAAAGAAAAAGAGAATTCAAACTGGAACCTAGATGTAGTCATGTAATTATGTACCTGGGATGAACCTGCCTCTGCGACCTCAACCTTGCTGCAAGAGAGGCACTAAGCTGGGTGGGGGAACTCCTCAGCTAAATACCCGGAACCTGCAGTGTCTCGAGACGTGATTTCACATGAAGAAATCCTCAGCARCCTAACTGGTTAAACGCCTCCACCCTCTTCTGCCAACCGCTTCTGTCACTAGCCCCACTCGGCTCCCCTCCTAGCCCCAGCCAGAAGTTACTTCTTTCAGCCACTCTCTAAACCACTTCTGTCCAGTGACCCAGGGGTTGTTTTGCCTTTTTTTTTTTTTTTAGTAAACACACTCAAAAATCCYACACTGCCGGGGGTAGAGTTTGACATGACTGCTCCAGCAGCAAAGCTGGTTGAAAGGATCCTGTCTTCACCTCTCAGCCTGACTTGAGGCAAACCAGCTGTTTCAGGGGTTGTGCTATATGTGGGATCAGAGAAGTAAATCCAGATTTTTAAAAAACACTAAAACACCAACTAAACAACCTTCTCTCTTTTCTGGAGGGGGAGGGTATGGGAGAAGAGGGGGAAGGGTTTGGGTTTTTTTCCCCCAGTTCAAAGAGTTAACTACATTTTTGAATAGGAAGGAAAATTCACTTGACCTGTGCATAGCCGTCCTCAGATGGTGCTCATTTTCTAATGCTAACACATAGTTTTGCATAGAGCAACAGACAACTGTTCACTCCTGATTTTTCTGTGCAAGAGTTCAGGGCACCCAGGTCCCTTAGTGTGCTTGGCAGAAACATCAGCCCATTTTTACTGCCAAAGAATTTTCAAAATGATGATTTATTCCACAGGAAAGGGGAAAAAAAATCCCTCACATCTTTTGGATATATTTCATTTCCAAATCAAAATGTGTCTGGTCAAGCTCACTAATTTATACTTTCATTTTAAAGGCAATTACTACCAAGAAGGAATATGTTCCATGAATTACAGATGCGTTATATTTATATACTTCTCACGGGGTCAACATCTTAGGATTGAGGCATTGCTGTACTTATGTACTAGTAACAAAAAAGCTTGTTGAGAGAGGGATCAGCAGTATACTCACACAAACTCAACCAGCTGGTCACGGTAGCTTACGATGAACCCAGTCAGACAAGTTGTGGTAACTGAGTACATTATCRTACATATGCTCTCAGGTTTTGCAAAATCAAAATTAAGCCCGTTAGCTTGTCTGAACAAATGTATGGAGGCCTAGAGAGGTTGTGGAGTCTCCTTCTCTGGAGATCTTCCAAACCCACCTGGATGTGCCCCATGCTCTGGGTGTTCCTGCTGGAGCAGGGGAATTGGACTAGATAATCTCTAGAGGCCCCTTCCAACCTCAGCCATTCTGTGATTATGTATTTTCTCTCAGGAAAAAACAAGAACATTCACAAGGTCAGTTATCATCAGGTGGTTATCTTAAAAGTAGATCACTTGTGGTCTTATCAACATACTCTAAGTAAAGAACAAGTGTTTGGTATGCATTAGAAAAGCATAGACTCCCCAGAAAATTTCAAGGCTATTACTGTGCTTGAAAGAAATTTGAAATCTTCCCAGTATTTCTCAAACAAGCCACAGATTAAATGTATTATCTACAGCTAAATAAACTACACAAGTCAACACCTCCTATTGAGAAAGGACTAAACTCTGCATTCCTTACTATTTTACTCTAATAGATCTAGTTGAGAAAAATCTCTCAAATTGCAAACACAGGAAATCTCTCTGCTCTGGTGAAGTTGAAGTAGGAGCACCATTTTTACAAACACAGTTCACTACCTTAAGGACAACACACAGCACCAAGAAAAGCTCCTACAGTGTTGAAGGGGGTAACTCCCGTGACTTAGCAATAAGCCTGCAGATCACTAAGCTGCCCTATGCCATTATAGCTCCCCAAAATAAGAGTCCCATTTTTTTTTCAGAATTCCATTCAGTTCCAAAAATTAAAAAAAAAAAAAAAAAAAAAAAGTAGTGAAAGAGCAAATGAGTGCAAAGCTGAGGAGACCAGATCATACTCTTCAGATCTATTCCTTTCCTCGCAACTACGCAGAACCAGAGACAGAGCTTTAACTTTCAGGCCACTAGACTTATGTTTTGTACTGGTACCATATGATCACTTACCAGAAATAGCCATACAACAAGGGCTGGGATACATGGAATAAAAAAAAAAAAAAATGACTGCGGTACTCGAAAAATTACCATCTGCTAGCTGTTGGGAGGTGTTAATTATCTTAATGGCAACCCAATATAAACCTGATGCTGCTCAAACCTTTGCTCAGATCTAATCACAACTCCAGCAAATGAATGAAAGCAGTACCAGCTTCATACACCCTACCCATTAAGGACTGGATCTTGCAGTCTCCATGCAAAGGTCTCRGATATGCTCTGCAGACTAGGCGCCTGGGCTAGTTTCCTAACCACCCYGTTCTGCTACAGTGCCTCCCACTGGGGGACAGCTTTGTCCTTCCAAAATGAGCCCCTGTTTGCCAATTTTATTACAGATTTTCTGTGTGTATACATGAAAACCGTTTTGCTGTGTGTTCAAAACAGGCTTTGAAATGAGCAAATACAGTCTATAGGCACGTGGCCTCACCAGCAAGCCTAAGACAAGAGCTAGCTTTTAAGAGCATGGCAAAATAARAAAAGATGATAGATTCAGATGAGGAACTCTCTGGTCTCCCCTACCAAGCATATCTATTTATATCTATACACACACACACTTGCATCTTACACTGCGGTTCATGGATCATGAAGCTGTAAGCAACAGCTTCTGTAAAAGCCTAATGTAATGTTGYTCCCCAGTTCAATTGCTCAGAACTGGCGCCTTCATAAATTGCAAGTGTCTTCATAAATTGGAAGTAAAGCCAAGCTGACCACCAGAGGAAACAAAAAGCAGTCTCATAAATACTTACCTTACTGTCTCTGTAGAGCTTGATGTTCAAGTGAATTGTAGTATTGACAAATCCTTTTCCTCCTAGCTGAAAAAAAAAGAGAGAAAAAATAAAAATTCTGAGCACGAGTTCAATTATGCTGCACTAACAGAACTCTAACAGGCAATATACCTTGTTTCCTGTTTCTTCAAATTTAAACTCAGATGCAGAGTAAAAATATATTTTAAAAAAGCTTTCCATCTTGTTTATTTAAAACATCTTAGGGTAACACAGTTTTTACTCTCTTTTACCATCTTTGATTCTTTACTGTCTTCTGGCTTTCACAGATCTGATACAGAGATCAGTCTGACAAGTGTTAAATTTTTATTCTTTCACAGGCATAATGTGCTCAGTGAATTTCAGAGATCAAGTTAGAGGTTCCTATAGGTAAAGTTAGGGTAGTTTATAGCTACGCAGTACCAGTGTCTGCCTGCAGACTTAGCAAGCACTTCTTGCTTCTTTTGCACATAAATTCATTGTTGCTTGGTAATTCTACGTTCAGTATCTAAAGAAACAGAATCCAAATCAGTCAGGGGAGATTCGCTAGGAACACAGAGAGCTAAAGAGGCTGCAAACTTTCCACTAGCACCAGCTTTGCAGCGCATACTTCCAGCTATGGGATAATGGAGTGGCCATCTGGTTGCAATCAGCTCTGCCATGCCTCCATAATAAAAATGTCAGACATCTCAGCCTCATTTCCTTTCCGTGGCCTACATGATAAAATTAACTAACTTGGTTTGCAAATTGACTTAGCTAGAAGAAAGTGCTTTCCTCTCCCTGAATGTTTATACCAGCTTAAGGAGGTTTCACACCTTCAGCTTTGTTACATTAATTTAAGAGGAGCTTAAACAAAAGTTAGAGCAGCAGGTGATTACATGGATTTATTTAAATCACTTCCCAAACTAATTCAGTTAAAAATACATTCCAGCTCTTCAAATAAGCAAGGCTAACCAGTAGAATTAGAAGAGATGGCTATTGCCAAAATAAGAAGAAATAGATGCAAAATGTATTAGCTGTGACGGAAGGTGCCATTTCTTCTCCTCCATCACTTTTCGGAAAAGAATCAGGTTTCTAAAACAGCACCAAAACAAAGCAAAAAAAAAAAAAAAAAAAAAAAAAACAGGGATACCATCAGACTCCCGTGTGCTTGTCCAGCCCACAAAAGCAGGTATTGACTCAACTGCTTTCTTTTGGTATCAGCCCAAACTGCAGCCAGGGCACACTAGACCACAGGGCAACCCAAAACTTTCTGCGCAAATGCAGTTTCTTGCTTGCAGGGAGGTACTGGGCAGCTGTTTTGCCAGCTCGGGCCCCCCACCACGGTGCTTTCTGTCACAACCAACACGGCGCAAGCTCCTCCAGGGCTGGTGCTTGSTCACATGCCCTGCTATTACAGAGCTGCCCTCGCGCGCTCGGTGTCAAGGTCAAAGCAATTGTTTCTTTACTTCCATGATGAAGTATCCTGTTTATGAAAATGTTATCTGCTTCCGACTTGGTAAAATATTGCATAGCTCAGTCAGTCATTGCTGGCAAGCACTGCAGAGAGGCAAAGTGTGAGAAAATGGCCCGCAGCATTAATTTGTATCTTTACTGTACAGCTTTTTTCCTTGCTCCACCTGTAATACTGGCTGCCTCCCAGTGACACTTGGGCAGCTAAGATTTCTATCCTCCTTTCCAACAGCCCTGTAAGCACAGCAGAGATTTATTACTGGACCATTCACTCATCTTCTTATCTCATCCCACCACAGGCATAAGCAAAGTGGCTATTTTTAAGAAGTGTGCATTCCCTGATCAGCGTTGGGGGAAAAGCCAAAGCAAGGAAGGAATTTCCACACGGGCTTTGAACATGAGAAGTTTTGGGTTCTCCTTTTCCTCTGCAGGCAGGTGCTGCTCTGCAAGGGCTGTGATTGCACATAGGCTACTCTTCACTCCTGAATATTTCATAGCCTCTGAGAAGCACAGCTGCAATCAACTTGTAAATAATGAAATGGGCAGTGATAATACAGCGGAGGCAAAGGAGGCAATTAGGCAGCACTGTAGCTGTGGCTGCTTCTGCAGCAGAGCTGTAACAATTTATCAGATTATTTGATAGAATAATAACGCTATCAACTGTGAAATCAAGCACATGTTATACCAAAAAGCCCAAGGAGTGTCTCAGGTGGCCAATAAGAATAGCAAAAAAAGAAAAAAAAAAGAAAAAAAAACCAGAACAACTGCTGAAGGAATCACATTGTACACGGGAATTCCATTAATGGCATTAATCACGTGCCCTGTTATATGCATCCATGGTAGAAATACAGTAGAAAAGTGAGTTTACAAAAGTAAGGCAGGAAACGTTTTACAAATGTTGGCATGAAACAAAGAAAATATCTACTGGTTTTCTGATTGTTCTCACTTCAGTTGAAGTTTGTAGGATAATTTAGTTCATGTCCAAACTACTTTCTAACAGTATCATGACACTGGACATTTCAAACCTCAAAAGTTCACAATTTAAAGTCAAATTGTTCAGCTTTAGCAAGACAAGAAAGACAGCAAAAGACAGTGAGATTACTGTAACAGCATTTCTCAAAGATATGACAAAGTTTGATTAAGCATTTCCTGTTTAAAAAAACAGATTGAAAAAGATGAAATGGTGAATATCGAGGTGCATATTGAGGTGCAGCTGTGACTTATGTAGGGCAGGTTCTTCACTTCGGCTCCTTCCACAGCATTTCCCTACGACTGGGCCAGGCATGGAGCRTGTCTGCCTTTGCACCCATTGCTCTTACCTTTATTAACTGCTTCTCTACCCAACRTTGTAATGACTGGCATGGATAAGCTGGGAAAAGCACTTTCTGCGTGGCAAAAAAAGGCTAGCCTAAATGATTCTTCCTAACCTAACCTCAAGCAAAGGGGATTGCAGCCGAGGCAAATATGCTCTCGGCGTGGCTCTGTGTAACCCCATGGCCTTCTGTGTATCACTAGCACATGTAATTCCATAATGACACAGCCAGTTCCTGGGCTGTGAAATATCAATTACACTTGAAGTGACTCTAAAGGGATGTTGGAYTGCGAGGAAAAGGAGAGGAGAAACAAGCACAGGCCAAACCATAAATACTCACCTCCCATAAATACCAGCCTTCCATAAATACCGGTCTCCATCTAGCCTATTGGCAATACAGGAATCACCAGGGGGTGATACTGCAGGGAGATTAGGACTCCCTCCCCCAAATACTCATCAGCCTTGCATCACTCGAGCTACATCAAGACCTGAACATGCCCCAGAGCAGAAAAGGAAAGAGCTGCTTTCCCCATCATATATTTCCCTAGGGCATCAGAGGAAACCTCACTGAGCCCAGACTCCCAGCACCGCGTGGTCCTTTCTCCTTCTCCCTCTGAGCAGCAAGGACCAAAACCCGTAGCTGCCATCTGCCAGCTACACGCGTGTCGCTCACTGGAGTGCTATGCAATTAGCTGACTTGGCTCCACTGGCTCACCATGGACTCTCACAGGAATTAGCTGAATGTCATTCCTAAAATTAAAGAGATTTCTGGATGCAAGAGTGCTGCTAGGTCCACTTGCAACACTGCCCGGTGCAAAGAGCAGCCTTGACATAAGCAGGAGATTCCTCAGTGGGATGCTGTGAACACATGTGCAAGCAGAAGCGGGGCAAGAGTGGAAAATAAAATCACTCTGCTCTTTCAGACAGAACCTCTACATTCAGGAAGGACTTCAATTAATCTTTGTCTAATCACCTTTTGCGTGGTTCAGAAAGCACTTCATAAAAGCTATGAAAATCTGAGCACTTTTGTAGAAGACATTGCTATACATGAATGAAGGTGATGATAAACACATTCTCTTCCTTCAGTTCCTTTGTACTCACTATGCTCACACTCTATATTTTCATTTCTTTTCTCAGCAACAATGGAAACTGGAGGGAAGGTAGATAAGTGGATAATATTGCCAAGAAAATCTGGCATATCCGAGTTCAGAGCAGAGAGGGAATTCAGCAGTCTCACACATCCCTGAAGCGTCACCTGTCACTGGGAAAGAGATGGGTGTCTCTGGGTGATACTGCCCTGTAGTAATTCCTGTACTTTGATAATCAGAAGRCCCCTCCTCATGTTATTTTCCATCTGTTGGGGAAAAGATCACACAGAGAAACCTTCCAGCCAGATGCAGTCACCAAATATTCTCTTCAGCTTCCAGTAAGCTCAGCCATGATGGAGGTGCACTGGGAGATTCATATTCTCCTGCACATTTCCAGAGAGAAATTACTCAAACAAACTCAGATTTTAGACTCTGTGTTTTGCTGTGTCATTTGAAGTCTCCATAAAACCTTATGCAGTTTTTTATAATGTTTTTCCTGACTTAGAATAATTCTTTTAATCACTAGGACTCATCTCTTCCTTGTACTAAGGAAGCAAAACAAACAAACAAAAATAAAAAACAACAAATCAACAAAAATAGAGAGAAAACAACAAAAAACGGTGTTACAGCCCTTCCATCAAGAGATTCCCGGTCAGTGCCCCACTCCAAAGCAACCTTTCGCTCCCGCACTCCCGTAGGCCGGCAGCAAGCTGCTCACACAGCTCCTTCTCCTGGGACCACTGACTCTCCTGGGAGCCCTGTAAAATTTGCAATGCCGTATTAAATCTTCCCAAGAGTAAGCAGTTGCCAACATGCTGAAAAAAAGGACTTGAAAAACTGTACTGGCATTTCCTGAGGATAACAACCCGAGATGAGGCTGGCAGCAGCACTGTTTATTAAAGCTGTCTGGCACTTCCCTTTTTCAGAAACATTTTCAACTGTTTTATAATACACGACCTCATGCTGAATTTCATTTTGCATATCTCCATTAAAAGGATTAATACATTTCCAAACTGCACTGTCCAGGTTAAAATGCACTGTCATGCTCTTCTATTGAAAAACCCTGGTATCTCTGTGCTCTGAAGAAGGGACCTGGCATGACCCAGGAAGATGCTTCACGTCAGAGATGCTTTTTACTCCAAGGCAGTAAGGTGAGCATTAGTAAGAAGAGTATTAGTAAGAAATGCTGTGTAGCTCTA